CTTATATATAAGCAAACTCCCATAAGATTATTAATAGATTTTTCAGCAAAAACTTTCATCCTGGCCAGGTGGGTCAGTTCATTGGAGCATCATCCTGTACCCTAGAAAGGTTGTGGGTTTGAGTCCCAGTCAGAGCATATTCCTAGGTTACAGGTTTGATCCTCGGTTAGGGTGCTTACAGGATGCAACCAATCAGTGTTTTCCTCTCCTTCTCCCTCTCCCTCTCATCCTTCTTTTTGGTCTAAAAAAATTAATGAAAACATATTCTCAGGTGAAGATTAAAACAAAAACCTTTGTAGGCCAGAAGGGAGTAGCATGATATATTTAAAGTGCTGAAAGAAATAAAGAGCTTTTCAACCAAGATACTCTACCCAACAAAATTGTCCTTCAGAATTGAAGGAGAGAAGAAGAGTATATAAGACAAGAAAAAGTTGAAGGAATTCAGTGTAACTAGACAGGCCTTACGAGAAAAGTTAGAGGGACTTCTTTAAGCTGAAACAAAGGGTACTAATCAGTAACAGGAAAACTTATATGAAAGTATAAATTTCTCTAGTAAAGGTAAATATATAGTTCAGTTTAGAATTTACAAGTAGAACATGTGAACAGATCAATTATTAGTAAGGAGATTGAGTTAATAACCTAAAACCTCTCAAAAAACAAAGTGCAGGACCAGATGGTTTCACTGGATAATTCCACCAAATATTTAAAGAAGAATTAATACAATTCCTTCTCAAAAGTAATACAAATTCTCCCAAAAATAGAAGAGGAGCGAACACTTCCCCAATCATTTACAAGGCCAACATTACCCTGATATGAAAACCAAGCAAAGACAGTACAAGAAAACAAAATTTTAGGCTAATAGACCTGATGAACATAGATGCAAAAATTCTCAACAAAGTATTAGCCAACTGACTACAACATTGCATTAAGACAGCAGTTCTCAACCTGTGGGTCATGACCCCTTTGGCAGTAGAATGACCCTTTTACAGGGGTCGCCTAAGACCATTCTGCATATCAGATATTTACATTACGATTCATAACACTACAGTTATGAAGTAGCAATGAAAATAATGGTTGGGTCACAACATGAGGAACTGTATTTAAAGGGCCAGAAGGTTGAGAACCACTGCATTAACAGAATAATACATTATGATGAACTGGTTATTCCAGGGATGCAAGGATGGTTTAATAGCCACTAATTCATCAATATGATAGACCATTTTAACAAAATAACAAATATCATATGATCATCCCAATAGATGCAGAAAATGCATTTGACAGAAGTTAACATTCATTCATAATGGAAACTTAACAAAGTGAATATAGAAGAAATGTATCTCAACATAAGAAAAGTCATATATGACAGATCTATAGCTAACAACATACTCAGTGGTGAAAAACTGAAAACTTTTCCTCTAATATCAGGAACAAGACAAGGACAACTAGTCTTGCCACTTTTATTCAAGATAGTACAGGAAGTCTTAGCCAGAGCAATTATGCAAATAAAAGGGGAAAAAATGCCACCCAAAATAGAAAGGAAGAAGTAAAACTGCTTCTATTTGCAAATGGCATATTATATATGGTAAACCATAAAGACTTCACACACAAAAATATTAGAATGAATAAATTCAATCAATAAAGTTGCAGGATACAAAGTCTATAATAATAAAAACATGATACGCTAATTAGACCTGACAACCTTCCAGATGAAGCTGGGGCTGCGAGGGAATCCTGGGTCTCGGGTGCCGGAGGGAAGCTGGTGCTGTCAGCTGGCGGAAGGAAAGCCTACTCTTATATGAATTTCATGCATCAGGCCTCTAGTCAACATATAAAAATTAGTTGCATTTCTATACAGTAATAATGAACTATCAGAAAGAGAAATTTTTAAAAAAGCAATCCCATATATAATTGCATCAAAAAGAATAGGCTACCTAGGAATGAATTTAACCAAGGAAGTGAAAGATCTGTACACTGAAAATTATAAGACATTGATGAAAGAAATTGAAGTCTAATATAGAAAGATATTTTGTGCTCATGGATCGGAAGAATTAATATTGTTAAAATCTGCACATTCATTGCAATCCTTATCAGAATTTCAGTGGCATTTTTTCATGAAAATAGGATAATTTTAATGGAACCATAAAAGACCCTAATAGCAAAGGATCTTTAGAAAAATGAAAAATCACTTCCTGATTTCAAGATACATTACAAAGCTTTAGTAATCAAGACAGTATGGTATTGGCATAAAACCAGATACACAGATAAGTGGAACAAAATAGAGAATCTATAAATAAACCCACATATGTATGGTCTATTAATTTATAACAAAGGAACCAAGAATATACCATGGGGAAAGGGTAGTCTCTTCAATAAATGGTGTTGGAAAAACTATATAGCCACATGCAAAAGAACGAAATATGACCCCTATCTTACACCATACACAAAAATCAACTAATATGAATTAAAGACTTTAATATAATACCTGAAGATGGATTAAAGACTTGAATGTAATACCTGAAGCCATAAATTTCTTAGAAGAAAACATAGGGAGTAAGCTCCTGAACATTATTCTTGGCAGTGCTTTTCTGGAATTAACTTCAAAAACAAAGGCAACAAAAGCAAAAATCAGCAAATGGGGCAACATAAAACTGAAAACTTTCTGTACAGCAGAGGAAACCATCAACCAAATGAAAAGGCAACTTACAGAATGGGAGAAAATATTTGCAAATAATATATCTGATAAGAGATTAATATCCAAATTATATATAGAAGTCATATAACTCAATCGAAAAACCAAATAATATAATTTAAACATGAGCAGAGGATAATCAAATATACATTTTTGCAAAGAAGACATCCAGATGGCCAACGGGTACATGAAAAGTGGTCAATCAATATCACTAATCATCAGGAACACACAAAACCAAAGGACAATGAGTTATCATCTCACACTTGTTAGAATGTCCATTATCAAAATACAGGAGATAAGAGGATGTAGAGAAAAGAGAACTCTTGTACAATGTTGGTGAGAATGTAAATTGGTTAATCTACTATGAAAAGAGTATGGAGGTTCATCAGAAATTAAAAGTAGAAGTACCATCTGATCCAGCTATTCTACTTCTGGTTATTTATCCAAAGGAAATGATAGTCACTGTCTCAAAAAGATACCTGCACCCCCATGTTCATTGGATCATTGTTAATAATCACAAAAAGATAGAAAGAACCTAGGATTCCATCAATTGATGAATGAATAAAGAAAAAATATATACATAGTTTTTGAAGAAATCATGACTAAAAATTTCCTATCCTGGGGAAGAACATATATATGTGCAATGAAATATTCAGACACACACATACACAAAAAAAGGAAATCCTGCCACTTGCAACAACATGGATGGACCTTGAGTGCATTTACTAAGTGAAATCAGAGGGGAAAAAATACTATATAGTTTCATATGTGGAATCTAAAAATAAGCAGACCCATGACATAGAGAACAGATTGATGGTTGCCAGAGGCAGGATTGAGGAGTAGGTAAAATGGGCAACAGTGTTTAAAAGGTAAGAACTTCCACTTAAAAATAAACTAGAGGCCCGGTGCACAAAATAGGGTCACTAGGCCTGACCAGCCATCAGGGCCAATCGGGGCCTTCTGGCTGCTAGCTGGGACCTCCCTTCCCCTGCTGCTGGCTGCCAGCCAGGGCCTGCCTTCATTCTATGCCACCCCCTGATGGTCAGTGCAAGTTGTCATAGCATATGATAGAATTCCTGGTTGAACTGCGAGGACACTTAGCTTATTAGCCTTTGATTGATAGATAGAAGATAGATAGATAGATAGATAGATAGATAGATATAAATAGATATAGATATGATTCTGGAGGTATAATGTATAGTAGTTAATAATCCTGCATTGTATGTTTGAAAGTTTCCAAGACAGTAAATTGTAAGAGTTCTCATCACAAGAAGAAAAACTGTAACTGAATGATGGATGTTAACTAAATTTATTGTGATAATTATTTTGCAGTACATATATCAAATCATTATGTTCTACACCTAAAACTACTACAATGTTATTTGTCAATTATATTACAATTGAAAACAAAAGAATATGGAAAGTTTTAAATAAATAGCTATAAACTCTTCTCTTTGTGAATAGGAAAATAAAAAAACAAAATAGGAGATAATTTTAGGTTATTTCAGAGAGTGAGAGTAAAGTATAAACTCTATCATAGAAGTTTTGGGAAAATATTCTTATATGACTTTTAAATATTAGCTGCGCAATTTTAGGAATAGACTAGTCAATACTTTCGTTTTCAAATAATGACCATGAGATGTTGCCAGAGCATGATTACAATTCTCATATGAAATCCAGGCCTTCAATTTTTATCTCAGTCTTCCAGTCCTTTTCTAGTGTTTATGTTTCTTATCTAACCACTTAGATTAAAGTGGCTTGGAAATTGACAGTGACCTTTTACTTTAAATTGACTCTTTATCAATGGATCTGTTAACAACTGAGCTCTCCAAACTCCCCACTGCCATTCATTTACTAGACACATTGTTTTATTTTAAAACTTAATGACTTCCTAAGAAGAACTCAAAAGCCTCAGTTAGCTCTTGAGCACCTTATGTGTTACATTTTTAAAGTTAAATATTATGTTAAGTATTTTGATACACTGTCTCATTAAAATCTTATAACCGTATGAGTTATTAAGAACCTGAAGTTAGAGAAAGATAATTTGACCATTAATTCTTTAAAGTGGCTTTAATTTATTCTGATTCCATGTTCAGTGCTTTTTTCCCATCCACCACACTGACCATTATTGTAAAAACCTCAGCCAGATTTCCCAATTTGTATACCAATTGGTGAATCTCTAGCCACAACAATTATATTTCTAAAACAATTGTTCTCATGAAAAGAACAGTGATTGATTCTTGTTGTTTAATATATTTAAACCAGCTTTTCATTACCATTTAGTATTCATCCAGTTTATCTTTCCTTTTAGGCCTGTATGTGGAATCAGAGGGAAAACTCTCATAATTAACTTGCCAGGTAGCAAGAAAGGATCTCAGGTAAGAAACCTTGAGAATTATATGATTTAATGTTCTTGAGAATTATATGGTTTAGTGTACAAAGTTTTGGCCAGCTGTGAAATTTAGCCAGCTGAAGAGTTGGAGCACTCCACAAGACTACCCTCACTTCTGACACCAATTGCAATTCAGTACATTTCCAAAACCATTCTCAGTTTCAATGATTCATTAAAAAGACTCACAGAACTCACTGAAGAGGTATACCCACAATTATGGCAGGGAAAGGATGCAGGTTAAAATCCACCAAGGGAAGAAGTGCATTAGACAGAGTACAGGAGAGTTACCAAGTAGGAACGTCTGTTAGCCTCTCCCTGTGGAGTCATAAATGCATTAAAATCTCCTGGCATCAATGTGTAGCAACACAGGGAGCATTGCCAATCAGGGAAGATCCAAGCCTTTGGTGTCCAAAGTTTTACTAGGGCTCATCAAATACTGCTCATATGGCTGACTTTTAGTCTCTAGCCCTTCCCAGAAGTTGGGCTGATACCTTTAATGTCCAACACTTTCCAGAAGTAAAACTGATAGCACATTGCCCAAAGCCCCATAATAAATCACACTGTTAGACTGTCTGGTGTCTTTGTACTTCCCCAGTACAAAGACACTCCTATCACTTATCAGTTACTGAGGGCAAAAACCAGACTCTCTTTGAATAAAGTTAATTCTTTATTAGACAAGCTACTCCCTAGCCTTTGGCCAAGGCTATATGAAGGCTAAATGATTGTATTTGTTTGACTGGACATCTAAATCGACTATAGCATTTTTATTATAGACACAAAAACAATATAAGTGTGAATATGCCTAAGATTTGGAGAAGCCAGTGTGGGACTGGGATAGATTTCAAGAAATAGCTAATCCATCCTCTATAGCCATTACATACATTTTCATATTTTTTGTACTAATTTACTGATTTTTCACCTTTAACTACTATTTGTAGTTTATGATATATTCACATAGAACTATTTACCATAGAAATTAGCTCTGTTGCTCAGGTCAATCATTTTCCATCGGTATTACAATTTTGAGGAGGCTTTAACTCTGTTTCTCAGTACATATAACCAGTTTTATAATCTTACTAAAGTGCCAGTATTATAACATATCACAGTATAGTAGTAAATGTAATGTGAAAAATAAAAGTCAGAAGATATTGGCACATAGTTGAATTCCTGCACATACATTAAAGTTACCCTTGTCCATCATCATTTCATATGACAACAATGCCTCCCAGAATGATGCTACTCAGATTTACGGTTTGTCATGTTCCAAAAGCAGTAGTCTCAACAACATATGGCTTTTCCCTTTCTGGCATCTGTTACAACTGAGCTAAGAAACAACATCATCTCTTGTCCTAAACCTCTTTTGATACACCAATATATTGGATTGCCCTCATTGCATAAACCATTTATTCACTCATTTACCTTTAGGTACCATTTCTTCTCTCCATTATACCCAAACTTTTCCTTTGAAAATCTTTGATGAGACAATTAGTTTGGCCAGTATGTGATCCAGATTGCCACCAATAATACCTGTTTAGCAAGTGCCTCCCACCCAGTTCATTTCCTTTCATATAAGGTAGGATTACTTACGTATAGAACTAGTAGGCACTCACAGTTGCAGTCCTGGTTTAGGACCACTACATCTGATAGGGGGGGGAAATTGAGGTGACATGGGGGAAAAAAGTAATGTCCTAAAGTAAAAAGTATGTCATAAGAGCATCTTCCCCCATCCCTCTCTTCCCCAGAAAAGTAGAGGAATCTGTCTAATGGGGACCATCCCTTGGACTGCCTCATGTTGAGTATGATCACACACCAATGAAGGTGTATAAGTAAGCCAGCCCTTCATATCTTTATCTCCTCCCCTTTGAGACAAGTGTTTCATTGTCCATTCCAATTTTCTATCAAATCATTGCTCTAGATGAAAGTGTGTTCCTTGGTATAATGGTCATTGATACACTATCTTCTGCTCTGGGCCTTTCATAGTACACTGAGCATTTGTATCTACCACTGGGTAAGCAAAGCCCAATTTAGAGTAAGTGTCTATTCCTATTAGGACAAATTTGTAGCCGCCAGAGACTACTGGCATCAGGCCAACTTGCCATCTATGTGAAAGACCTTTCCCGTGGAATCTGCTGTATAGCCCTGTGCCGTCTCTGTCTCTCTTGTTAGCAGACAGAACAGTCCTTGTTGGCATTGTGTGTCTCAGAAAGTGCAAGACGAATATATCTACATTCATCCCATCTTGCAGCCCCCTAATGTTCACTCATCTCATGGGTCCAGGTGGCCATATCAAGAAGGCACATCAATACCTGCTCACTAGTTTCAATCAGTTTCCAATTCTGGAAGGGGGTTCTTTTGATGGGCATTAACATATCTTACTTTAATATACCCCCTGCATTGCCAGGGTGATTTTCATGGGGCTATGCCCCATACAGGAATACCTTTAGTAAACCAGTTTTCCATTGTCCTTCTGCCTGACCATATGGCCAGGCCATTAGACACTTCCCATGATTCAATTAAAACCCAAATATAGGGCCAAAAATCATGCAGTTCAGCCCATCGAGCTGATTTGTTTTTACCTTCTTCAATCAGAGTGGCGGCCTTCCAAACAGGATGCTGTCCCTTCACCTTGGAATTGCCATCCATAAACCAAGCAGCTCTTTGTTGATCAATAGAAAGCTGTTTATAGGGCACCGCCCAAGTGGCCTAAGTGGCCATAGGATCCAGCAGCTCCTCAGGTGCTTCCGAAGTCGGCCCTAGGTGAAAAGAGGCTACCTGCTCGTGAGTACCTCCTTGCATTCTCCTGGTAGCATGATCCTATATCCACCATTTCCATTTTATTATGGAACTCTCCTAGGCATTGCCTTCCCCATTAGAACATTTCTCTGACCTTACCTAAGACATTATGGCTATTTCAGGTTTCAAGATTATATTATTCTATGTCATTTAGTAATAAGGGAAGTTTCAATTAAAGTTCAATAATAAGCTAGTAATTGTTTCCTCAAATACAGATTTTCTGGACCAAAATCTCAGCAGTTGTTGCTGGGTAGCTCTCATAGGTTTTGCCATAAGTTCTACTTTGCACTCTTCACAAAGCTATTGTACAGCAAATTAATGAACTGTCTGGGCTCAGACAATCTTTTGATTTTCACTTAGCACATCCAGTCTATATTGGATGGAAGAGTGGGTTTACATGCCTTCTGTCATACAATACTAGATAGGGGAAGAATTCTCCAAACACAATATCCATTCCCATAATACATTCAGGTAAAGGAGACTCACCACTTCACATAAAGTTCACTGTACAAACATGCTATTTTCATCCAAACTTTCACCTTAATCCCTATTGCACTCCTATACCCTCTCAACCTAATATTATCCCCCAATTAGGACCTTAACAAGTTTTAGAATCACAGTACATGGTACTCCCATGTCAAAAAGTCCCCCCAAAATCTCTTCTCCATTTTCTGACCATTTGACCAATTTATGTGCATATGGCCTTGGATTTCTAGGCCTACACTGGGCGAAGGGATCCAGACCCTTTTGTCAGGCCTTATCTTGACTAGATTATGGGATCATCCATCACGTTAGGTGATTCAAGGTGAGTTTTCTTACAGTCATCTTTGTCTTCTCACTTTTTAAATATTTCTAAACTAAAGTAAGTAGAGATTTGTTTAGGACCTCTCAATAGAGATTTGTTTAGGACCAAAGCCCTCATATTAAACTACATTGTTAGATGGTGCAGTGCCATAGTCACCAGGAAATCAAAGACACTCCTCTCAGGAGACAAGCAACTGCTCCTATCTGTGCTCAATCCACAACAATGCTACATTAAGACCTTTGTTTTGCCCCCATCAGTGCTCACTTTATTCAGCCATTTATTTTTTTATTCAATTGAATTTATTGGGGTAACAATGGTTAATAACATTATATAGGTTTTAAGTGTACAATTCTATGATACATCTATTATTGCATTTTGTGTGCCCACCACCCACAGTTGAATCTCTTCCATCACCATATATTGGACCCCCTTTACCCTTTACTACCCTCTTAACCCTGCTTCCCTCTGATAATTACCATATTGTTGTCTGTGTCTATGAGATTTTGTTTGTTTTGTTTGTTCATGTGTTGCTTTCAGTTTTATATCCCACATATGAGTGAAATCATATGATTCTTCACTTTTTCTCTCTGATTTATTTTAATTAGTATGATATTCTCCAATTCTTTCCTGCTAGGACAAGTCCTATTCTCTTATAAATTAATCTAACTTTATTCACTGTTTATTGCTTTAACCTAACTTTTTTCCTTCGGAAGCAGCTCTGAGGTTAACAACTATATATTGGACAAGCCAAAATCTCGGCTTGGCTCAGCCTCAGGATCCACCCCAACATTCTCCCTTATATTAATTTTAGCTAGCACAGATATCAGTAACCAAGGGACTATATATGTACCTTGTTTCTTGTTATTTTACGTTTATTTATCCACCCAGTAACACAGCTCCTTAGGAGTTGGACCTTTCATTTCGAAATTCCATTGCTAACTTTAATCTTCAATAACTAATCGCAGCACAGCTGCATTTCCTTTCTGTGAGTGACTTTGTGTTCATTCAGGCTTTAAAGACGCATCGTTCTTTACCCTCTCTTCCTTCCTCCTCCCAGATCACATGTTTCATGCATCACACTCTTTCTAGTGAATCCCACTTCTAATACCAATTGTAAGGAGTTTTGGCCAACTGCAAAAGTTAGCCAACTATAAGACTTCCCTCATTTCTGATACCAGTTGCAATTCAAGGGATTTCTAAAACCACCCTCAGTTTTAATAATTCAATAGGACTCATAGAACTCACTGAAAGCTGTTATACTCACAGTTATGTGTTATATTACATGGAAAGAATATGGATCGAAATCAGCCAAGGGAAGAAGCAGAAAGGGCAGAGTCTAAGAGAGGTACCAAATGAGGAACTCTGGTTATCCTCTTAACCTACTCTCCATAATATGAGACGATACAGACAGACTATTGCTAGCAAGGTACCCTGACTTTTTGCCTATGGTGACCAGAGTTTTTATTGGGACTTGATCACATATTTCCTGCAAAGCTGACATTTAGCCTAGTCTTTTCCAGAGGGAAGACTGGTGACTTTACTCTCTAGTTCCTTCCAGAGGCAAAACTAATAATGTTTCCTGAAGCCCTCATAATAAATCAGTGTTAGGCTGTCCAGTAGCTAAAGCCCCCAAGCAAACAAACACATTTCTATCATGCATGAAATTCCAAGGCACTAGAGATCACCTCTCAAAATCTGAAAGTAAAGGCCAAACCTCTCTTTGGTTAAGGTTAAATCCTTTACTATCTAATCTTTATCAGTAAAGTGATTGAGCTATGCGAAAAGAGATAAAAATATTGGGCATGCTTTCATGTATTTCAGTAACCCCCCATAAATTCAAGATACTTTTTTTTACATCTTACATTTTAAGGTAAGTTACTTTAAATATAAAAGAGAAAGACCTCTGCCCCAACACATTCCCCAAACATATATGACCCAGTGTTCTAAGGTTAACATTCTCACCTATTCTCTTTTTGATGATACATTATAGGTAATAGTGTACAGCTGAGCAGGAGACTGTATTGACTTTAATGCAGTGTTTTGTACAAAGTTATATCTCATGTTGACTAGCTGTACTTTATAATGGTAGTCAGAACTTTAAATCTCTGAATAAAATAGCTCAGTTCTCAAGTGGTTTGTTAGTTCTAATGCTCTGCTCTAATTAGAGAGGAAAAACTTTTTCTTTTCCCATAATATATCCTTGAACCCCAAAGTTGTATAAACATTTTTGGTCAAAAAAATACTGTGTACTTATATAGTACTGTAGTTCCTCAAAGAACACTGTAATATACAACATGCTTACTTCCTTTTTCATATTACAACAATAATGCTTTAAATATTCATTCTTAAGACTGATGAAAAGAAATGCAAATCCAAAAATCACAGATAAGTTTGATTGCTACCATTTTTTATGCCTATAAAAGTACTTCATCTTCATTTTTTTCTTTCTCTTGCATACAGGAATGCTTTCAGTTCATACTGCCAGCTCTACCTCATGCCATTGACCTTTTACGTGATGCCATTGTAAAAGTAAAGGAAGTGCATGATGAACTTGAAGATTTACCTTCCCCACCACCTCCTCTTTCTCCTCCTCCCACAACTAGCCCCCATAAACAGACAGAAGACAAAGGGGTTCAATGTGAAGAGGAGGAAGAAGAGAAGAAAGACAGTGGTGTTGCTTCAACAGAAGATAGTTCTTCATCACATATAACTGCAGCAGCCATTGCTGCCAAGGTAAGCTTGCTGAGAGAGACCCAGCAATCTAAAGGACTCACAGGTAAATGTACTGATTTCATCCCTCTTCTCATCTCATCATTCCATAAGTTTAAAACCTCTTTACTACATTCTTTAAAAAGAACAGAGATACTCAGGACACGCCGCTGTTTCCTCCATAATGTAGAGTTCTTGAAAGCACTGAAGCTTGTTCTGAGTTCTGAGGCATTCAAGATACTGCTGTTATCTAGTGAAGTAAAAGCTGCAATGATAAACAATGTGACATTGAAGAACTTTTTGGAGATGTCATTTTTGTGTAATAATAAATATATAATGTTTACATATTCAAAAAATCAAATATTCACAATTTCTTAAAGGAACAATAATTCAACAGTTCTCAACCTGTGGGTCGTGAACAATGAAAATACATCCTGCATATCAGATATTTGCATTACGATTCATAACAGTAGCAAAATTACAGTTTAAAGTAGCAACGAAAATAATTTTATGGTTGGGGGTCACCACAACATGAGGAACTGTATTAAAGGGTCGCGGCATTAGGAAGGTTGAGAACCACTGCTAGATGATTCAAGAGATTAGTTAAAAAGGTTAATAAAGATATTTTAATATAAGCGTTTTCAGCAATTAACTAAACAGTTATTTAAATAAATGACTGATTACCATAGTGGTGTAGACAGGAAATGGATATAAAGTATTTGCATTTTTAATCTAATAAAGTAATATTATTAGGACAGTACCAACATATTAAAAACTCTTTTGGGGAAATGCAGGGAGTAGGGTACCATGAGGTACTTGAACGAATTTAGTCATTTTAAGTCACAGAACATCATTTACATTATTATCCATACCTAGTATGCTTTACCAGTGTGCTTTAAAATCTTCAAAAAGTAAAATATCACTTCTGGGAATAATGATTGTTCATTGATTAAGAGCATAAAGAGTAAAAATCCAATTACTATCTTAAGCAATTCCTAACATTTCATGGATTATCCAGATATTTTGCCTATGAGGATTGCATGAGAGGGTTTTTTGGCAACATATAGATAGAAAGGATCATAGAGATCTTTTTGAAGTGTACATTCAGACAACCAGCAGGTGATCCTTTCACTGAAGACAGATGATTCTATCTTCAGATCAATTTAATGATCCATTAAGTTTTTACTTAAGGCTAGTATTTAAGATGTCTGTGAATTTTGTTTTGTTTTGCTGGAACTAATTGGTGAATAATATACATTTAAAAATCAATGTATGTTCTTTTTCTTTTACTCTTAATTAAAAGAGTAAAAAATACCACCAATTTCAATCTTAAGAAAAAAGCTTATAGCATTTGAAATCTAAGCTGATTTGACATTTCATTGTTCCATTTGTTTTCACCTTTTTTCCTTTCTAGTCATTTTGCTTGTATAGTTTCATGTTTTCTTGTCACTATATTCATAGTTATTATGTGTTGTGCATTAGAAGCATCCATTCTACACCAGTCCTGCTGTTATCATGGCACATGGTGAGCAGCCCATCCCTGGTCTCATCAGTTATTCCCATCATGCAACAGGCAGTGCAGATGAACGGGTAAGACAAAGAGGCTTTTGCATTAATGATTTTGCAAGCATACCACCTACCTCCTATCTTTAGAGGTAGGCTATAACATATTATGGGAGATATGTTTTATTCAGAAGGACCTTCAGCAGTGCTTTCTTGTGAAAGTGTAAGTGCCACTGACTATATTTCATCGAAGAATTTAATTTAATAGAGTTTCTCCTATACCTAAATTACTACTACTCTAATATCATTAAGATTCTGAAGTATGTGGCAATGAGCTTTCATTACATGACTTCCAAGAAATTCATTGCTCAGAAGTTCTTTTCTTTAGCAGTTTTATCAAATACCTTCAAATAAATTATCCTGCTTAATTAAAGTAATTTCTTTAAGAGGTTCAGCCTATGTCTTAAAATCTAAACAGATTGTTCAAGCTAATATTCCATTTGTATTAACCTTGGGGTTTTTTGCTCATGATTTTACATCTTATTTTCTTTTCCTTCACTATGTTCTCATTACAACCATTTAGAGAGTTGAGTCTTGATACAAATTCTGAGATTTCTAAGATAGAAACTTTCAAGGATACATATCACTTCTTTTAGTCACTGGCTGAATGATAGTTTGCAAGAAATGCCAGACTAGGAAAGATTAAAGTGATATGTATAACTGACTAAGCAGTGATAATTTAGACTATGGCTGCAAAAAAAGGAAAAAAAGATAGATAGATAGATAGATAGATAGATAGATAGATAGATAGATAGATAGATGATAGATAGATAGATATTAGAGGCCCAATACATGAAATTCGTGCAAGGGGCTCGGCCCTCGCAGCCGTGGCGGCTTGCCTCGGCCCTCATAACCCCGACTTAGTCTGGAAGTCTAATTAGCATATTATGATTTATTATTATACTAGAGGCCCGGTGCACGAAATTCGTGCACGGGTAGAGTCCCTAGGCCTGGCCAGCAGTCAGGGCCGATCGGGGCCTTTTGGCTGCCAGGCAGGGCCTTCATTCCACACCACCCCCTGGTGGTCAGCTCACATGATAGTGAGCAATCAAACTCCCAGTCTCCCAGTCGAACTCCTAAGGGGACACTTTGCATATTAGCCATATATATATATAAAATAGAGAAATATGCAAATTAGCCCGGACGCCATAACGGTCACAACCTAACAGGAGGGACTTGAGCAGCCGCAGGCTCCCAGCACCGCCAGCCCCCTATCGGCCAGCACACCCTCAGGCCTGGAATAATGACGCATTCAAAGTGAGCACAGAGTCACTGCACAGGGGGCTGCGGATCAGGGGTGCTGCAGATCAGGGGGGCTGCAGCACTGGAGACCCCAGTTCCAAGCCCAGAGCCTGGCCTCAGGGCTGCAGCTGTGGCTGCGCTGCCCAGTGGGGAGCCCCACAATCTGCCCCCACAGACTCAGGAGAGCCAATGGGTCTGTGGGGATGGCCAGGAAGAGGCCTCACCTGGCACCCTTTACTTCGTGAGGAGGGCCCGTGGATGGGAGTTGGGGGCCAGACTGTGACCAGCGATCAGTGTTTGAAGAGGGAGCCTTCAGCCCTGTGGACTTTCTCTCCCAACGAAGAGGGCCATGCCGGCCCCGCGTGGCCGCTGCCCATCCCCACTGGTGTCTGCAGTCCCACGTGGGACCGTGAACCATGTCTGAGCCACTCTGAGGTGGAGCCCACATCACCTCTTTAAAGTTTTCATTTTTGCTGATCGGACCTTTGCCAGGCAGCGTAGAAGCCAGGACGGTGGGCACAGTGGAGCCTGCAGATGGGCACCCAGGAGCTCCTGGGCTCCCATGGCTTCATTCAGAGAAGGTGCCCCCCACATACCGTTCACCTCAGCCTGTAGGGAGCAGCACAGTCACTGCGATAGGCATGGCCCCAAAGCTGCACCTGAACCTCGCTCTTCCTCCCTCGGTTCCCAAAGCCCAATGCAGTCTGTGAACAGCCCTCCCCAGGTACCAGACAGGACCAGACAGCCGGGGGGTAAAGTTGGCCTGGGGCAGACTTAGCCCTTGCAAGCTGTGTCACAGCAGATCCTGAGCAGCAAGAACTTACCAATAGGCATGTTTGTGCAGACATTGTAAACAACATCCACTTTTAAAACTGAATTGAGAAGCATAGATTGTTGCTCTAGAGAGCAATGCTTCAGCGGGACCCCGAGGTCACCTTGGAGGCTAGAACCAAAAGTTACATGATAGCAAGTGTTGGTGAGGATGTGGACAAATCTGAGCCCTCACCCACTGCTGTTGGAATGGAAATGGTGCGGCCGCTCCTCAAATGATTAATATCAGTCACATAGGACCCTGCAACCCGCCACTCCAAGTTATACACCCAAGTGAGGCAGCCGGTCACAAAACGCCCATTGTGTATGGTCCCATTCCCATGAAATGTCTCAAACAGCAGTGTGCAGATAGCTGGGTGGGGCAGGCAACTAGATGGGTAAGGTGGCACAGGGTTTCTTCTAGAAGCAATACAACCTTCTAAAAGTAACTGGTGATGCCCTGGCTGGTTTGGCTTAGTGGATAGAGCATCAGCCTGCAGCCTGCAGGGTCCCGAGTTCAATTCCGGTCAAGGACATATGCCCAGGTTGTGAGTTCAATCCCCAGTTGGGGCCATGCAGGAGGCAGCTGATCCATGATTCTCTATCATTGATGTTTCTCTCTCCCCCTCTCCCTTCCTCTCTGAAATCAAGAAAATATATATATATATATACACACACACACACACACACACACACACACACACTAATAAAAGGGTAATATGCTTATTAGACCGGATAGACCTGACATCTTCCTAACGTCATTCTGGACATACTTCCTGACAAAGCCGGGGCCCAGCCTAGAGGAAGCTGCCCGGGGTCCCGGGTGCCTGCGGCCGGCCAGAGGGAGGGAAGCCTTGGTCCCGGTGCCAGAGGGAAGCCAGTGCCAGCAGCCCAGGGAAGGAAGGCCTACTCTTGCACAAATTTTCGGGCAACGGGCCTCTAGTGTGTGTGTGTGTGTGTGTGTGTGTGTGTGTGTGTGTGTGTGCACTGAGTGACCAGATTATTATGACCACCTGATGTTTGTAGGCAAATTAGCTATAATTTCGCACTGAAGTTGCTAGAGGGCCAGACTTTTATAAATAGGGAAGCAGATTGTTTACCACGACAGTAGAAGTGATTTTTTTTCTGAAGATATGGGTAAACAACGTGATTTAACAGCCTTTGAACGTGGGATATATTTGAACATAAGTGGCCAGATTATTGTGACCACCCCATCAGTACTTCATTGGGCCACCTTTTGCTTTCAATACTGCGGCAATTCTTGTCTTTGACTCCACGAGATGTTGAAAGGTGATGTGAGGAATCTGACACCATGCCTGATGAATAGCACTGTCCAGTTCTGTGAGATTTGATGGTTGTGGAACCAGCTGCCTGATGGCTCTTTTAACTTCGTCCCACAAATGCTCAATTGGATTGAGATATGGTGATTGTGGGAGCCACCTAAGCAAGGTGAAGTCTCCCTCATGTTCTTGAAACCACTCCTGCACAATACGAGCACCGTGGCATGGCACTTTGTCTTGTTGGAAGAAGCCATCTCCATTGGGATACACCAGTGGTTGGCAAACCGTGGCTCATGAGCCACATTCGGCCCTTTGGCCCCTTGAGAATGGCTATTCCACAAAATACCACGTACGGGCACGCACGTACAGTGCGAAGTTGACTTAAAACTTTAAGTAAAGTTTATTAAGTTAATTTTAGGGAACGTTGTGGAATGAAAGATGTAGTGTCGAGGATTGAGAAAGGTAGGTTGAGGTGGTTTGGACATATAGAGATTATGAAGGAAAGGAGATAGACGAAACAAGTATACAAGACGAGTGTGGATGGGAGAGTTGGAAGGGCTCGACCTCAGCGAACATACCTCAATCAGATTGAGGATGTTTTTAGCAAAGGCCAGCTTAGGAGTACCCTAATTAAGTTAATAACAATGTACCTACCTATATAGTTTAAGTTTAAAAAATTTGGCTCTCCAAAGAAATTTCAGTTGTTGTGCTGTTGATATTTGGATCTGTTGACTGATGAGTTTGCCGACCACTGGGATACGCCATCAACATGATAGGATGACCTTGATCAGCAATGATACTTAGGTATGTTGTGCTATTCAGACGTTGTTCCACATGAATTAAAGGGCCCAAATCATGCCAGGAAAACATGCCCCAAACTATAACACTGCCCCCACCAGCTTGAAAGGTTGTACTCATGCATGTGGGATGCATGCTTTCATGCTGTTTCCGCCAAATTCTCACTCTGCCGTCTGCTTGATGCACCTGGAAACATGATTCATCGGACCACATGACTTTTTTCCAATGCTCGACTGTTTTTTCCTTGTGTTCCTGTGCAAATTGGAGACATTTTATCTTTGTAACTGCAGACAACAAAGGTGTTCGAACAGGCCTTTGGCTTCCATATCCCATACGGTGCACTGTACGGCTAATTTTGCCTACAAACGTCAGGTAGTCGTAATAATCTGGCCACTCAATGTATGTGTGTGTGTGTGTGTGTGTGTGTGTGTGTGTGTGTAATCTCCCACGTTCAAAGGTTGTTAAATCGCGTTGTTTACCCATATCATCAGAAAAAAATCACTTCTACTGTTGTGGTAAACAACCTGCTTCCCTATTTATAATGGTCTGGCCCTCTTGCAACTTCAGCGCGAAATTATAGCTAATTTGCCTACAAACATCAGGTGGTCATAATAATCTGACCACTGGGGGGGGAAAATATATATATATATAATCCCTAATAGGGATATAAACTGAGAGGGAAAAGTACTGAAGTAAATTTTGCCTTTAAATATTTAGGGAGAACAAGCACTCATAATTTGGGGAAGAGGGTATGGAGGGGTAGGTGGGGAACTAGTGGTTTCTTGGGAGATACACTACCACAATGAAGACTTTAATCTTTATATACAACAAGCCCTACCTGGTTGGAAATAGACTTGAGTTAGTCAAAGGACAAGTAGAAAACTTAAATATTGATTT